AAATGACCCTTTATTGCCATTTTCCTGAAGGCTCAAACAAGCAGACCCTGTTGCCAAGGAAAACATTAGTTGAGATCTTGCCTACAGGAGAAAATGAAAGTTTTCATATCTGCATGAGAGTGCAGTGATAATATCGTGTGACAGAGCAGATCAATATTATACAAGGTAATTCTAAAAATAGGGGTAGTCCAACAAAAACATTTCTAACTTTTAAATTGGGATTCATGTTAGCACCTAATTTGACATAGTTGTAGCAGACATTCTGCTCTTGCGTTGGGCCAAATCTGGGGATGTTTCAATAACAGGTTTTCGAGTTATGAATTTTGAACAAGTAAAACAGTTCCCTCCAATTCAGAAATTGGCAACTGTAAGCTACTCAGATAGCTCACATAAATTGAAAACACCAATTGTGCTTATCTTGAAAGAAAGTTGTTGACCTTATCCACTTTTCTGTATTTGGAAACACTCCAGACTGTAGGGTCTGCCATATGGGTCCTCAAAAAAGGCCTTTCAAATAAGAAAAACAGCAGCTTCTTTTAAAAAAAGTGTGGTGTAGACTTGCCAAAGAGAAAGCCTTCAGCAAATACTACATTGTGGTTTATTGGGTCCAGGTCTGGGACAATCTGAACTTTTGAACCTCTCAAACAGAACCCATTCATCTGACTCTCAGGAAAACTTTTTAATTCGTTCCTGGACAAACAGGATTTTTAGGATTCACTCTTGCAGGGGCATAATTTATCTGGTTGTAAAATGCTGATATAGACATTAAAAAAAGAATAGAGAATATCCCATACTACAAGTAGACGCTGTCTAGGGGGGCGGGGTATAAATTGAATGAATGAATAAATAAACTAAATAAATAAACTAAATAAAATACCCATCTTGTCAGCATATAATTGCTTGGTGATTAAATAAAAAACTCCAGAGAGGTTATGTACCAGCAAGTTGCTTCTGATGTGTGCTGACCATATGTGTAAATTATGTCCAGAATGTCCCATCATGAAAAGCCGTGCTTAGATTTTGCAAACAGTAGTGCTGATTTTGCAAACCAACAGTAGTGCTCTTTTAAATAGAGTGTCATGTTATTTATATATAACATAGCAACAGCTTTCTAGATGGTTGTATTCAAAAAGACAATACTGCTCACCTGGCTAATCACTTTTCCAACTCTCTAGTCCCTTTCCTGGGCTATCCTTAAGCCAAAACACATAAGAGCCAAACTGATTCAATTGTAAAGGAAACAACAGTGTGTTTTATTTTAAGAAGTGTAATAGTTACTTGGCACAATTTTTAGTTTCTTGTTTTTTTTAAAAAAAACAACAACTTTCCAACTATAACAAGTTGTTTCTTAACAATGTAGTTTGTTTTTTTTAAAAAAACAACTTTCCAACTATAACAAGTTTTTTCTTAACAATGTATCTACGATAGACAATTCTCTTTTGGAAACCCACAACAATGTACAGTATCTACGATAGACATTCTCTTTTGGAAACCCACACTACTACAGTATGCTGGTAAAGTATGTGTCAACCTCCCTCCAGCCCTCTTGATAGTAAACTTTCTCCTGACTGAAAACTCTCAGACTCCTTTTTCCTTCCCTTAAACCCACCTGTGAATCATGATTGGCTCAGCTCAGGCTAATCGGCTTCTCCTTGCTGACACTGAATGAGGCTGCCCATCACTCCCATTTCTGATCACCTCTGTAATTATCACTAATGGAATGGTGGGAAATGGATTCTAGTAAGAATGCTTTTTGTCTGAGTTCACTTCTTTGTAGTTTATTTTTTGCTAGGTTATGTCTTACATGATACTGGACTACTGTGTCCGGATAAAGTATTATCATTGCTTTCAAAGATTTTACTGGAGAAGAAAGCAGTCACTTAAGTGCTATTATCACAGATTCAGAGATTTAGTGCTGTGGATACCAGTTGTGGCCATAATATGCATATCACTAGCCCGGCTATTTGCCTCACTACCCATGCTAGTTTTCTACAGAAGCATTTCCATCATGGCCGTGGCTAAAGAACATTAGCTGAAAGCAAATCATAAATCCCAGTTCATAGAATATGATTTGGACAATTTATTATTTTTATTAGAATCTGAATAGAGGTGAAATTCCAAGAAGAGAAAATGACTATAAAAAGATTTTATAGAAAGTTCATTTACATACTAGATTATTTTTATTTTTAAAAATTCAGAGAAATAAAAAATAACTTATAAGGTAGGTATGAAAATTTTTAAATTTTTATTATACTCCTGAATAAACATGAACAATTTTATTATAAAAACACATGGCAGAATCCAGAGGACACAGCTTGCAAACAGTTCCACACAAACCTTACTGAAATAAGAAGGGTGTGCAGCAGCCATGCCTGGTGGAAGGCACCTGTGGCATACAGCCTGTTTAATACTGTAGGATTACAGTAGTACATTGAACAAGGAAGTCAATAGCTGAACTAAATATATGGCAACTTGCTGGTATAATTTGTGAGGCGGAATACAGATCTCAAAAGGGGAAAGTGCTCTGTGTACCATTAAATCTCCAATTTCTACAGTCCCAATGTGTAAATACATATTTGTGTATAAAATGCTACCGTGCATGCTATGCTTGTGTTTTTTTCACATGCAGAAAACAGCTGGCAATGGTGATGCAGCATAGGTTGAAGTTCTTATGGCTAGTATATCAATCTATTACTCGACATCAATTTCCATGTTCCCCACCTCCCATCCCAGTGCTGGTTTCAATGTTTTTCCAAATGCCCAAATTAAATAAAGCTCCATGAACGCAAAAGATTGTATGAGCAAGGAGAGGGTTTGGACTCTAGTTCACTGGTTCTTAACCTTGGGTTATTCAGGACTTTTGGACTGCAACTCCCAGAAGCCTTCACCACCAACTGTGCTGGCTGGGGTTTCTGGGAGTTGCAGTTCAAAAACATCTGAGTAACAAAGGTTAAGAACCACTGCTCTAGTTGATCTTCAGAACACAGTCATAATCAGTGTTCAGCCTGCCGATTAAGTGAAATCTTGACAATGGAAGTGAGATTCACAATCGCTGCTGACCCAGCAGCAAGGAAGAACATCCAAAACTGATTGAGAAAAAATGGAAATGCAGAAAAATGTACTATGAAGTAAATTAGTAATCCCTTGGTCTGTTTTCTTGACTTTCAGCTGATCTAAAGGAGCCAGCAAGAGTATAATTGCATATATTTCACTCAAATTGTGATATTTCCAGCAGAACACTTGATGAGGAAAATCAAAGGATTTGATACAATGAGGCACTTGTGATGACTGCTTTAATTGTAAATATACCTCTGATGTTCATGCTATGTAAAACAATGCTTCATATTATTAGTATTACAGTTGGTCTGAATATGTTTTCAGAATCTTTCCTCATTTCTGTTCCACAACCATCTAAATCAAAGAAATTACAAACAGTCTCAAGGCTACAAAGTAGCTGACAACATCCCTATCCACTATTACTGTGAAGGAACCAGACAACCATATTTATTGTGGAGTCTCAACATCTTCTCTTATTCAGTCTGAATATTATCTGATGGGTACCATTTTAATATATACAAGGAGCTGTCCTATCACCATAATGTTTGATAAAGCTACATGAGAAAGAAACCACATGGACTTCAACATTTTTTATATGCTTCTATTTTCTTGCAACTCGCATATTCAGTTATGCACTGTTAGTATTATTGGTTCTGTCATGCCCCACATTGGTGTCTGCAGAAGAGTAACAGAACCCTCAACACCCAGTTAAACTAACAACTGTCCAATCCTAAGATCCAGGAAGAGGTGGCCCTGAGAAGTGATAGCTGAGGGAACGTCTCATCCAGAAGAAAGGAGCTGTGAATCTAAAACAGAACTATTCCTAAACTCCTAACAATGTGAGGATGTTGGCAACTGTAAGAGGCAGACAAGAATTTTCATGCCTAGAAAAAGTGCTCAGATGCAGCAGAGGACACCTCATGAGTAAAAGACTCATGTGTTGCGGTCTCATTATGAAGGGCTTTCTTGTGGAAACTTCTAATGCACCCACCTTGGGTGGGGCTCAGGCAGCTCCCGCTTAAAAGCGTCAGTCTGATGCTTTGACCCTGCACCACCCTGAATTTACCCATTGATAGCACCATCGCAATGCTAGGATTTATACATCTGACTGGTTGCATTGCTGCCTACCATCCTCGACCTACTCTCTATTTTAGCCTTGGACCAAACAGGACAGATTCAGTGTAGAGACATGCTGATTTTTGTTTTTTGGACTACAACTCCCAAGATTCCACAGGAAGCATGGCGAGTGCTAATTCAGACTTTGTGCTCAGTTTGTTTAGTTTCAACAGGGATGTTGCAACATTGTTCTAACTATACTTCGTCTGTTTCTTTTAATCACTCAGCACAAACTTTGTGACACAAATGAATGAGGAAAGTCCTACATATTTAGAACTGTTTCTGTTGAATATTCAGATACAATATCCAAGGGCTGTATAACTAGCAAATCTCTCCAAAAAGAACATTGTTTATCTTCAAAGCCCTCTTGCTCTATGATAATAGCTAATAATTATTATGCAGAACACAATAAGGTACAAAACACCAAAAACCCTTCGTAACAACTTGGAATAAGTTCAGAGGAGGGCGACAAGGATGATGGGGGAGCTGGAAACCAAGCCTTACGAGGAAAGGCTGAAAGAACTGGGCAGATTTAACCTTGAGAAAAGAAGACTGAGGGGTGATATGATAGCTCTTTTCAAATATTTGAAAGGGTGTGATATAGAGGAGGGTTAAGATCTGTTCTTGATCATCCCAGAGTGCAGGACACACAACAATGGGCTCAAGTTAAAGGAAGCCAGATTTTGGTTGTGTATCAGGAAAAACTTCCGAACTGTTAGAGCAGTACAACAGTAGAACCAATTACCTCAGGTGTTGGTGGGTGCTCCAACACTGGAGGCATTCAAGAAAAACTTGGATAATCACCTGGCAGATATGCTTTGACTGTATTCCTGCATTGAGCAGGGGGTTGGACTTGATGGCTTTATAGGCCCCTTCCAACCTCACTTTTCTATGATTCTATAAAGATAACAGTACTTTACAGATGGCTATTTGGTCACATTATCAAATTATCAAATAAGGACGTGACAATTCTCAAAACATAAGTGCATAAAAAAATCAAGGTTTCCCTTTATGATTTTCAAAATTTATTCTGGATTTTTTTTAAAAAAAATCAGCTTAAAAACCATCCAGACAAATTGGATTTCAAGACAAACCCATAAATAGTGTTTTTGTTTTTGGAAACAGAAAATGGTATGAAAATCGTTTATTATAAAGAGAAGGTAGACTGTTTTTAAAGCCAAAATTTTTAAACACTACCTTTTACAGCAGGGGTCTCCAAATTACAGCCCATGAGCCACATACAGCCCATCTTGCCTTTTTATCTGGCCTGGTAGGCAGGTGTGTTTGTGTGCATCCATGCATATGTGTATCCATCTTGCTTCGGCCCTCGAAAATCTGGAACATATATGTTGTGGTCCTCACTCTGAAAAGTTTGGAGACCTCTGTTTTACAGCAAAGTACAAGACAGTCTGTACAATGATGGAAAACAGTATATATATAAAAAGCAGTTCCTGAAGTTCTGCAGTAGCAAAACATCCATTCATTCTAAGGCCTGTATGGGTTTCCTTCACAAGTCCTATCAAACAAATAGTGTATGCTTGAAAAATGCTCTCTGAGTACTCAGTAGAGCTTAATGATATGACCAGAGTCAGAACATTTATACAGAAACTGAAATCTGCTTTGCACTTTAAACCATCTGATGAAGCAAGTAATACATATAACTTATACAAACTATTATCACATACTTTACCCTCATTTTTACTATATAACCATTATAATATTACCTTCTTTGCTTAAATTCTTCATATGAAGAACTTGCTCAACTTCCACATCTCTCCAATGTATCTCCCAGCAAATTAAGATATGTCACCCTCTCTATCCAACATGCACTAGGCAAATGTCCAGAAACATCCCTTTCCACCATCCTAATAAACCTAACCCATTCTCATCTGAACATACAGCTTCCCCCTTTAAAATGAGTTCTTTCACCATTAAATAAAAACAGAGAAAGAAAAAGAGATCCTAACATTTTTGCGTAGGCTGTGGCAGATACTGAAGCAACGATGGCAAGTGTCGCACAGCGCTGGGACATTCACAGTCTGCCAGCAGGAGGGAAGGACGCTTCATATGCCCCTTTCTGTACTCATCATTTCTTCTGTATAAATGTGCCCAGAGCTTATTTTTCCCTAAAGTTTGGATTCTGTTTTCTGAGGCTGGCTATGAGGGAAAAAATGACAGAAATGGGAGGCACACATGCAAATGAGAACTGTTGGGTGGCAGGAAAGTTGCCAAACACCCCCCCCTCCATGTGCCAGGATCCTATTCCACTCTCATTACTACTACAAACAGGAACCCCATGATTCCCTTGTACATAGTTCTGCTCTTATGGCATATATCATTTCCTAGGAAGGATTCTGCATTAAAGTAATGTGACTGGCTGGGTAACTATTTTCTTTCTCACTTCCCCTTCCATCCCATAAGAATGAAAACAGCAAAAGAAATTTTTTTTTTCAATTTGCAGCTCCTTTGCTTTAAGTCTTCTAAAGTTTGTTCAGAAATGAGCATATGGGATTTTGTTGGCTTGAAATTCATCCGTTCTTAGTTCTGCAAACTGAGGTCAAAATGTTTCAAATGATGAAATTATATCATTGAAGTACAGATAACTCTCCTTGTACAGCCATGCAGAGGCAATATCCTCTTGAGGAACAGTTACATGCAGAGTGTGTGGTTACTCTCTCACAGTATCCTTCATTACAACCTCCTTCTTGCTGAGTTCATGCACAGCAGTGAGTCAGAGGCTTTCAGTTCTTCTTCTGGGAACCAATCATGACCTTTGACACAAAATTTACAATGGCACTGGCAGGCTGCTCTGGATCATGCTCTGCAAACAGATGGCATACATTATCTGTGGCACTGCCTTGCTTCCTTGCAACAAACCCAAACACCCTGCAGAAAGCAAAAAGAGAGGATATATGCATCAGAGAATTCAGAAGTATCATACTGTAGTAAAAAAGAAAAAGTTAGCAGCTGGTTTCATACTGCATTCCAGATTCTTTCGTTTTTCCCTCGAGGCCTTATCAGAGGTTCCTCAACAGGAAAACCAATGAGAAACAATTTTTTGGAAAGGCTATTTGCCCAAACCTTTGCAGTGTATGATTACTAGTTGGTGCACTATATTCTTTATTTTACTTTATTTAGACTTATACCCCGCCCCTCTAGACAAAGTCTACTCGCATGTATGCCCAATCTTTTTCTCAAAGTATTGGGTCTGCTCTTAATTAATTCATACAAAGCAATACTGAGGCAGCACATTGCAAGGTAGATTACGATACATACACTGTAAATGGAATTTGCACTCTAAAACATTATGTTCTTTGTTTTTCACACAAGCAGGACAGAATGTCATGTTTTAGAGTTCATTCTATACAGAATAAAGACATCAATTATGCTGAAAGAATATTATTTACTGATCGCAAATGATCTGCAAAACAAACAAAAACAGACAAACTAATGTAAAAAGAATTGCCTGTACACAGAATTTTAAAAAATCACTGGCATAAATGGAAGCTTTTTAATTTTTGGTAGTCTCCCTGTAGGCTGGTAGAATCCAGAACATTATCCTACCATCTCACCTGTAGAAACTGAGCTGTGGCTTGCTTGTAGCCATCATTTGTTTTCCCCATGATGAACCAAACTGATATATTACCGGTTCATTACCGGGAAATGTATATGATTGCTGGCAAAAGGCTGAATATCAGCAATTTTGCCAATCTTTTCAAATTAAAAAATTAACAAAAGAAAGAAATCCCACCCCTTGTAGCTTAGCTGAAGCAGGAGTAATAACCTGAAGAGATCACAGTCACAGAGAGAGGGCCCACATCAGAGCACTTTGCTAGGACCCTCCCCCTCAAATCAGACTGGAGATCGCCCACAGCCATTTCTACTACTGCAATAGATCACAAATGTTTTAGCAGAGAAATAAGCTGGAGCCTTTCCATGCACATGCCTATTTGTGCTGGTATATTTTCACACTATTATGTACTCAGGAAGGATTGTAGAAAGGAATGTGCTAGAGAAAATAAGCCTGCATTCACTCACAACATTATGTGATCTGGCCTGCTCTTTGTGAGAATAACAGAAGAAGCTTACCTAACATCCACTCATTCTCTTTCTATCAGAGACATTCCCAATACCATGTACTTCTCAACACCTTCCAAATTTATCTCAATACGTCTTCACATCCTGTAACACTCACTAAAAGTTATTCTAATGTTACCTCAAACACATATCTTCAGTTGCTCGACTTTTCACCACCTACATTAGCATGAGGCAGCACAGACCAAGATTTTTCTTATTTCCATCACATCTCACATGCACACAGAAATTCACTCCTCAGCAGCCAGGCTGACCCACTCAAAAATCTCCCATTGCAACATCAGTGCATTAAGAATAAAAATCGATGTGCTGTGTTTTTAAAAACTCTATCGCTGGAATCCCATTCATTTTATCACTAAGATTCCAGTTCCTCATCATTTTTGACAGGATTTTATTTCCCTGTGGGTCACAAGTGGTTGGAATAATGCTATGGACACAGGACACATTCAGGTCTCCCAGCTTTTTGTTAAAGATTCAAAACGGATATGAAACAACCACTTCAAGCTGTTTAGGTGCTATTGAAATCCACTGTTCAGATGATAATAATAGATATGTCCAGAGATTAAAATGTTGATCTTTGTATCTGGTACAAAGGGTGACTGTAGAGATAATGGACAGCTCAAATGGAGACTTAGCTGTTATTAGGGACCTGAGAACCAATACAACTTGATTAAAAAAAATGCTGCACAACTGAAAAACAGTTAAAATAGGGAAGGTTAGAACAGAGCTTCTACTTAGACCCTGGCTACACCAGAGAAAACAAGAAACAAAAAGAAAGCAAAAGTCTCAATAAAACTTAAATCCCCCTTCCCCCACCCCAAATGTTTAAATGGTTATTAAAATAACTGTTGCTGATGCAAGGCCTCTGACAGTGCCTTCCCAATGCTCTAGATCAGGGGTCCCCAACCTTTTCGGAACTGCAGACCGCTTGTGGGGCGGGGGCATCCCTGCGCTCGTGGGTGTGTGTGGCACGTTCATGGGTGTACGTGGTGTGCTCATGGGTGAGTGGGGCATGCATGCGCACCATACGCACCCACGAGTGGACCGCACCCACCCTCGAGCACACCACACCCACCCACAAACGTGCCTGCTCACTCACACATGCATGCGAGAGTGCCATGGCCACCATGCGTGTGTGTGTGGGGGGCAGGAAATATGTATCTGCAGCCCCGTCCTGCAAAGCCCATGGACTGGCACTGGGCCGCGGACCGGGGGTTGGGGACTCCTGCTCTAGATTTCTGCTGGACTCAAAACGAGCAACTCATACCTTTCTGTTTAGCCAGCATTTTAATTAAATTGTATTTTTAAGCTGGCCATATGAGCAGAAGGGTTTATTAATATTTATGTTTTAATGACTGTTTTTAATGTAGGACATTATTATAATATTGCCTATTTTAAATAGTTTTAATGCTTTTAAAGTTTTAATATTGTTTTATGCCGCTCAGAGACCACTGGTAATGGTGTGGCTGTAAAATCTTGTAAGTAAATAAAATAAATAATAAATACAGCGGACGATACCACTTCAGACTAGAAGCCACATTTTAAATGTACACATTTCTCTACAAATGGAAAAGCACAAGTGAAGAAAATCTCAAGTCTTTCTTTCTGATATGCCAGTTGTTTTTATTGCAGAGAATTTTTGTGATATACTGGACATCTTTAAAAATAACAACTCACCTGCAGTCGGAAATGGCACAGTCCAGGAATTCCACTGCTTCCATCTTATATCTCATTCCTAAATATGAAGGACTAGATTCCAAGAGTACCCTAATTGCAAATTCTATTGACCTTATTTTGAACAACTCTTTTTCAACACAGTGTCAACCAAGACCGGCATTTTTCATATCCTGCTCACCCAAAATCTATATAAAGCACAAACTGAAATAACGGCAGTAGTTATGAGAAAACTGGGCTGCGACCAGCTGATATAAGATATTCCCTATATATTCTAAGAATCAATAGCTACTTACTTTGCAGCAGGACCATCTTTTATCCACCTTGTATAAATAAAAAGTAGGGGAAGGAAAAAAGAAAGAATAATAGTTTTATTGTGGGTTTTGTTTTGTGGTAGTCACAAACAGTGTGAAAACAATGAATAAGGAAAAGTATTCATCGTCCTTACTTCCTGTCCTGTGGATCCAGAGCACAGAAAATAACTGTATTGACTGGATAGTGCCTTCTGAAAAAGAGCCTGAGAAGAAAGGCAATAAATAAATAAATAAAAGGTCGAGACATTTATGATTCAGTTTTTTACAGTGCTATGTCTGCACATACTATATATGACTATGAGTTGTTTTATGGAGGAAAGGCTGGAAGTACTGACAATCTCCAAGTGTTCTCTGTCCATTCTTAAAAGGAGGACAGGGTGCTACTTAACCAGCTACTTTCTTTACCAGTCCTGCCCCCCCAAAGCCTATAGCTGACTTCTTTTGACCTTCATTTGGACTGAATAAAATCCTCGGCCTGGCCTGGGGCTCATGGCATTCACACCTGAAAGGCCACCTAGTGGAATATGGAAGGCTGAGACAGCTTTCAATGGGCCTCTCTTCTGCAAGCAATACTGCAAGAAATGTGCATGGTAATCCACTGATGTTAGCACAAATTGTCTTATTCTCCCAGAGGAGTTCAACAATGTATCTTCCCCCATTCCTCTCTAGGATGTGTTGGGAGGGATGCGGGAAACTATAGGAAATCTCAAAGAAGAAGAGATTGCTGACTGCAGAGAGCTCGTCTCAAACTCCGTAACAACAGAAGTAGGAAGATGCCCTTTACTTAGAGAGGATAATTTGGATTATACTCCGCTTGGCTTTTAGCGAACTGTCCTCCAAAAGACACAGGAAAGTGAGGATTTAACAAACATCCCTAGTATGTGTGCCGGCCTAAATATAGGGGGAGTAGTCTAACCTCTGGTGTAGTGCATGCGTAGAAAACCCCAGGTTTTCTTCCACCTACATTTAACGGGTTGAGAAAGGCACCTGCTTTGCGCCAGTCAGCACACAGCTACATGGACAAGTGACCAGGCAGTATCAGGAAGCTTTATGTGAAAGGTTTAGGCACCAGCATCACCACGACCAACAGGGCCATTTAAAATGTATTCCTTCCATAGGAAAGTGGCAGTTGCCGCCCACTATAAGTGGGATTGAACATACACATCTGTATGCAGACACACATATCCCCTTATCTCCCCTTCTGGTCAGCCACTTTCCCCTTCAGCTATCTGAGGGATGGGGCACTGTCTATGCTATAGGTCGGGGTTGAACCACAAAGCTCAAACTTCCTTCAAATGCAAGAACTAGAGACTCCATTCAAAAATGGTATTCAACCTGCAAACAACTTGCTTGCAGTTCTCTGTCAAGGGAAATTTGCCATGAGCTCCTGATCTGCCATTGAGCAACACATGAAATAATCTCTGAGAGGTAGAAATGTACTGGTTTTGATATAGTAGTAGTATAAGAAAAATAACCTTGGTTCTGCACTCACTTTCGCTGATTGTCTGTCAATGTGATGCCCTGTGCGGAGACTTTAAAATGGACCACAGTAGAGATGGGAGGAGGATCCTGAGACAGCGTTAAACTCAGGGCTTTCTGTACTGCCTGGTAACCTGTGAGCGACTCCATTTCAACAGAATTCAGGTACCACACATTGCATGCTGTTCACAAAAGTAGAAAAAGAAAAAGATTTGAATGATGAGGAGACTCTGAAAAGAAGATTTTACTTTGGTTCCAAATGCAAACTTCCCTATCCACACTTCTGACAAAATACTAAGCTGCTAGTGGGTCTGAAAAATAACATCACCTGTATAGAGACTTATGGGGAAAAATATTTTGTTCTAAAAATACAGCATAACAAAGGGATACAAAAAATTATGATCTCAATAGCATGCGAACCCCAACAAGATGTACTCTTCAGACCACTGTTCTATTAAGAACAGTGACAAGATGGGCTGGACAAGCATACTTCTCTCCTTACATACGTATAGGATCTGGGATGGACAATTTCTAGAGGCACATAACCAAACATGCCCATACCTGGACTTTACAGCATTGCACCTGCTCCTGCAAACCCACCACCCGTATCCCTTACACTTATCTCAAACACATTGGGAGTGACAAAAAGTTATTTACATAGTGGATGCAGTTCTCCTGACTCTGGAAACCTGAATTCATTTAAACTAACTAGGTGTGCCCACACCTTCAGTTCCTCTATCTTATTGGGTAGTCCCTGCTCACTGCTTCCTTTATTACATTTCCATTAAGTTGAACGCTTAATGCCCAACCAGGTGTTGGACAGTTCTGTCTTCTCTGTCTCCCATTATTAGGTCTCTATCCTTTCTATGCAGTGGATCTATCACTTCCTTGCTCTTCCTTTTGATTTGAGCATAGTTGAAAACTCCTTTATTTTTTTATCTCCCTTGCAAATCTGAGCTCATTCTGAGTGTCAGTAATACTGACCTTATAAGCACTGAATACTCAACTTTACTATTCCATGGCAATTTGCTTCTCTTTCCATCTTTTACAGATGCCCTCTTTTAAAACTCAGATCATCTGAAAGCTATTTATACAGCCATCTTGGCTATCTATCTATCTATCTATCTATCTATCTATCTATCTATCTATCTATCTATCTATCTATCTATCTATCTATCTATCTATCTATCTATCTATCTATCTATCTATCTATCTATTAATCTAATCTAATCTAATCTAATCTAATCTAATCTAATCTAATCTATCTCTCACAGAAACGCAACACTCCCCCCACCAAGAACTGTGACTTTGATTTCTGTATCTCACTTTTAAGAAGATCCATTCTTAAGGGCCAGAGGGTGAGTTGCCCTATTTTAGGCTACCTTTCATCAGCATAAGTAATCTCAAAAGGCATATCCACTTCTCAAGTTTTCCACTAGTTTGACCTTCCTGATCTTCCTTGTTGATGAGGACCAGATCAAGGATAGCTTATCCCATTCACTTTTTCTATTTCCAGGAAGATGAAGTTGCTACCATGAAAGTTTCTTGGCCACCACTAGGCTGAGTTGAACTTTAAACAAGTTATCAGAGTAGCTGAAGTTTCCTATGCTCTGCATACCAATACAGAGACATAGGAAACTACAGATCATTCCATACAGCTGCTTCCTTACTGTCTTTTCCCATCTGCTGGTGGGTTCCTATAACACCACTCCAATTTTGGTGCATCATTACTACTATTCCAGTGTTGTGAATAAAGACTACTCACCCAGCTTTCCCCCTTCTCGTTTCAATGCTCTTAGCATATGGAAGATGGTGAGTTTGAATAGGAAAACCTCCAGTATCTGAAAGGGCTTTTCCATATGAATTGGAAAGCTGATTTATCCTGTGTTCCAGTTCATGTGAAGACGCCCACAGATAGCGGAGACTTTCCTGCTCAGATTCATTGCATTCCATCCATTCTAACAGAAATGATGATAGAGGGGGACAGGACTGGTCAGCACTTCTCCTGAAAGTATGGTGGCAATTGTCTAACGTACTAACCTAGAGAGAATTCTAATAATAATGTCTCCCTTTATGACAGTATTCAGTTTAAAAGTCCTCAGGGCTTAGTCTGAAGGACTTCAGACAAACATGTTTTCCCCAACCCTTGCAAGATTAAGTCATCTCTTGCCATGAATTCTTCTTCATGGAAGTGCTGATCACGGTACAACATGCTAAACTTTCCCTGATGATACCAGACCTCAAGCTGCTGTATCTGCTGTGTACTGTATCCATTTGATATTAAAACTTGGGTAGACAGAAAGGATTACTTGCATGGAATTTGCAACAAAAAAAACAACAACAAAACAAACTACTGACTTTTTTTACCTTAAAAATATTTCTCAATGTTATATCATCTACCATAAATGGATTCCATAAAAATCCTATTCTTAAATTCATTTTTTAAAATGTCATTTGAGAAACATGCTTCCATGATTTAAAGTACAGTATTTTTAGGAAATCATTTAGAATTCTCTGCATTTCACTTCATGGACATCTTGTAACAACCACTGAATTCAGAACAGGACTGAATGATTTGCTTGTGCCACTTCCTTGGTTGCTCATGTGGTAGGATTCCAGTTTTAACATCAATGCATAAAAGAACTTAGCACTGACCTGCCCCTTGCTTCAGAAGCTCTGCAGCTGAATTTGCAGCAGTCTGTGGGGAGGCTTCTGAAATTTCCTCCAGGGGATCTGTAAACAGAAGCCGTCATTTACATTTTCAACTTAACTTCGTTTTGGAAGTCACTCACATTTTGCATTTGTTGAGTGGTGCTTTGTTAGGATTTCAATAAGGAATTCAATGAACAATAAAGTCTTCAGTTGTCAATTAAAACAAATCAGGACATTCTAGGTCCATCGTTAAGGGGTTTTAAATCACAGTGATTTTTATAAGTTAAGGACATAAGATTTAGAATGCTTAACATTGGCTGTCATCACTGCAAATGATGCAAAAACCAGCTTCCTGTAAGAAATGTCTCAACTTCCTAACTTAATGGGTTAGCAGTCTATCTCTCTACTAATACATCAGGAAAGTTGTACCTTAAGGATGAGTTAGTGGTATTCATGATACAGCTGCAGTTAGACAGTATTGTGCCACACTGTTGTTTTATTCCACATGTGATGGACTGGTGGAGTATTGGTATCATTATAGCATTGCACCAATCGGTGCTATCTATACTGCTTCAAACATGGACAACGACAGGTTGCCCACCTGTAATTGTAGTTCTTCGAGTGGACCTCTGTGATTCACACCCTGGGTGATCTGCGCCTGCGTGGAGCCACATCGGAGAGGAACTTCTGCGGTAGCAAAAAACACATTAGAATAAGGCCCCTCCCCCCTTCGTATAAGTACCTTGCACCAAGGCTCCCCTTTCAGTTGTGTCAACCGCTGCTACATTAAGAAGAATGGTGTGACAGTGGGAAGGACAGGCGGGATGTGTGAATCACAGAGGTCCACTCGAAGAACTAAAATTACAGCTGGGTAACTGTCATTCTTCTTTGTGGCCTCTGTGAATCACACCCTGGGTGACTAAAAAGGCAGGGTGTCACAGCAAGGTAGAGGCTAGAATAGCATGTCCAAAGGCCGCATCAGACTTCTGCCAGAGATCAAGTCTATAATGCTGGATGAAAGTAGACAGCTGTGCTCAGGTGGCAGAGGCGGAGATGTCTGGAAGATATACACCACGAAGGAATGCCGTAGAGGTTGCCACTGCTCTGGTGGAGTGAGGGCGAATCCCCTTCAGGACTGGTTTGCATGCCAGCTGATACACTAGGTGAATGGTTGAAGCAACCCATCTAGATATAGTTTGAGACATCACCTGGCAACCTTTAGTAGGTGGTTGGTGACTTATGAAAAGTCGAGGTGAACGCCTGAAAGGTTGGGTCCATTGGACGTAAAAGGCAAGGTCTCGCATAAAGTCTAAAGTATGGAGGAGTCTTTTTTGAGTTGTGGATAGTGACAGGAAGAAGGAAGGAAGGATAAAACGCTGAGAAAGATGGAATTGAAATACGACTTTGGGGAGGAAAGAAACATCCATGGATAGTTTGACTTTGTCTGGAAAAAAATTGTAAATAAGGATAGTAATGACGTAAGGCCGCTAAATCACTAGCTCGTCAAGCTAAGGTGATGGCGATGAGGAAAATTGTTTTAAAGATAAGTAGCCATAAATCAGTTGACACTAAAGGCTCAAAAGAAGCTTTAGTAAGTTGTTGCAGTACTAGTGTTAGTGACCATTGCAGGGAAGGTGGGAGGGTATCTGGGTAGATATGAGGTACACCTTTAAGAAAACGTTTCAACGTTGGATGCTTGAAGAAATCAGCTGCTGGAGAGTTAGGGGGCTGATAAGAAACTATGGTAGAGAGGTAAACTCTCAAGGAAGAGAGGGAAAGGCCGCTGGACTTGAGATGAAGCAAAAAACGTAGAACAGTAGCAAGTGATGGATTGATAGAAGGCAATGAAGCAGCTTTGGTGAAATATTTGAATCTGTTCCATTTATACAGGTAAGCCTTTCTAGTGGAGTGCTTCTTTGATTGATGGGGGACCTTCATTAGCGAGGCAGAATCCTCCACGCTACCAGGTACAGAACAGGTAAGTCTCGGTGGAGTACTTGGGTGTTCTGCATGAGGAGGTGGGGCAGGTGAGGGAGGTGATGAATGTCTGATGAGAAATTGTGAAGGACTGGAAACCAGGGTTGTCTCGGCCACCAAGGGGCTATAACAATGCCATCGGGTTTGTCTTGTTGTAGAAGAACCATGACCTTGTGAAGAAGCGGGAACAGCAGAAAAAGGTAAGTGAGGGTCTTGGGCCATTGGCTAATGAATGCATCTCTTTAGGAGTGCTTGCCAATGCCGGCTTGAGAGCAGTATCGTTTGCACTTCCAATTCACATGGGAGGTGAAGAGATCGAGAGTTGGTTTGCCCCATGAAAAACTGATAGGTCTAACTCCCATTCGTGATCTTGAGAGTTGGTGCAGCTGAGTAGATCAGCCAAGTTGTTGTCGTGGCTGGGGTTTGCCCCAAGAAAAACTGATAGGTCTAACTCCCATTTGTGATCTTGAAAGTTGGTGCAGCTGAGTAGATCAGCCAAGTCGTTGTCGTGGCTGGCAATGTGTAAAGCCATGAGGCAGATATGACGTGCTAGGCACCACTCCCAGAGGTCGACTGCTAAATAGAGGAGACTTGGAGAGTGGGTGCCATCTTGTTTCAGAATATAGTACATCGCCATGGGGTTGTCGGTGGCAATTTATACCATCTTGCCAGTGAGGACATTTCTGAAAGCTTTGCAAGCTTTTATAACCACCAACAGCTCTAATTCGTTAATGTGGAGCAATTTCTCTCTGGAAGACCACTTGGCATGGATTTTGAGAGATTTGCAGTGAGCTCTCCAGCCTATGAGACTGGCGTCGGTGGTGACCTGTATTTGTGGTTGTGGTTGTTGGAATGGCTGCCCGACGGATAGATTGGGAGGAAAACACCACCACTGAATTTGGGAGGTGAGTTCTGGGGTGACCCTTAAAAGAGTGTGAGGAGGGTCTGTGAGCGGGTCAAATAGGGCGAGAAGCCATGAATGAAGAGACCTCATCTTGAGATGTATGTGGTGCACTACTGAAGTCATAGACGTCATGGTGCCTAGTACATGTTGCACAGTCATCAAATAGGACGAGAAGCCATGAATGAAGAGATCTCATCTTGAGACGTATGTGGTGCACTACTGAAGTCATAGATGTCATGGTGCCTAGTACATGTTGCACAGTCAAGATGGGTACCATAGCACGAGGGGTGAAAACTTGAAGTAATGCAATGAGATTTTCTCTCTTCTCTGAAGGAAGAAAAGCGCGAGCTTGTGTGGAATCTATGCATATGCCTATATAATGAATAATCTTTGTAGGTTTCAAATTAGATTTTTGTTCGTTGACAGTGAGACCGAGATTGCAAAGGAGCGTAAAGGTGAAGTGAGTGTCTTGTTGGGCCTTGCAACGGGAATGAGCTAGGATGAGCCAGTCAACGATATATGGAAATATGAGAATTTTTTGCAACTTGTGATACTAGCTGAAATTGAAGGAATTTTCTGTGTGAGAGATGTATGGAAATATGGAAGTATGCGTCTTTGATGTCTATGACAGTGAACCAGTCATTTTTGCGGAGTAAAGGAAGAACTGACAGACAGGTAGGTGTTTCCAGAGGGCAGGATGAGTGGTGTGGTGTGCAATCTCGTTCATGGGAGCGTCAAATGTGATGTTTGGGCTTGCAGTTGTTGCGCCTAGTAATGGGTTGTTGGTGGGGTTTATTTCCTTGATTTCTGAAATAGATTGTATAAGATGTTTGTTTTGGATCACATTGGAATTTTTGATATGATTTGTACAGTTGTCTCCATTGATTTTGTTGGGTTCGTTGTTGGTAAGATGGATAAACTCCCCAACGTCTAGCTGCTGATCTTTTCTTTTGCACGTTTTCCAAAATATCATCAGTTTCAGCATTAAAGAGGTCTCCCCTGTTGAATGGAAGGGGATACATGCGCGGGCATCCTCAGCCAGGCCAGCTGTCCTTAGCCAAGAGAAACGTCGTAAGGCTACTGAAGTGGCCATTGACTTTTTTACGAGTAGCCAGTCATCGATAAACGGAAATATGAGAATTTTTTGCAGCCTGAAGTAAGCAGCTACCGGTGCCATGCACTTGTTGAATACTCTTGAAGCTGTTGCAAGGCCAAAAGGAAACCTTTTGAATTGGTAAGCTTATGATCCTAGCTGAAATTGAAGGAATTTTCTGTGTGAGGGATGTATGGAAATATGGAAGCATGCGTCTTTGAGATCTGTGACAGTGAACCAGTCGTTTTTGTTGAATAAAGGGAGAATTGATTTGAGAGTAACCATACGGAACTTTGTGGTAATGATGTATTTGTTTAACTGTCGTAAGTCTAAGATAGGGCGAAGACCTCCGTCCTTTTTGGGTACAGTGAAATAGCAAGAGTAAAAAAACCTTTGTTGTGTTGTGAGACAGGTTGTAAGGCGTCTTTGAGGAGTGAATTTTTTATTTCCTCTTGTAGGGTTGGAGATGGTGGAGTGATGACGTGTGTTGCTGGAGGAAGTTGGAAGAAATGGATGCGGTAGCTGTCGCAGATGATGGACAGTACCCAGGCATCTGTAGTGATGGATTCCCAGACAAGTAGGCGATTCCAGAGGGCAGGATGGGTGGAGTGGTGTGCAATCTCGGTCATGGGAGCGTCAAACATGATGTTTGGGCTTGCGGTCATTGTGCCTAGTAATGGGTTGTTGGCAATGTTTATTTTTTTGATTTCTGAAATAGGTGTATAAGATGTTTGTCCGGTGTTTTTTTATTTATTTCTGAAATAGGTGTATAAGATGTTTGTTTTGAAGGATCACGTTGGAATTTTTGATACGAATTGTACAGTCGTCTCCACTGATTTTGTTGGGGGCGTTGTTGGTAAGATGGATAAACTCCCCAATGTCTTGCTGCTGATCTTTTCTTTTGCATGCTTTCCAAAATATCATCAGTTTCAGCATTAAAGAGGCCTGCCCCATTGAATGGAAGGTCATCCTCAGCCAGGCCAGCTTTCCTTAGCCAAGAGAAACATCGTAAGGCTACTGAAGTGGCCATTGACTTTGCTCTGGCATCTACCGTGTGTCTAGCAGAAAGCCATCTGTTGTTTGGCAATGGGAAAACCTTGTTGAAAGATTAGGGCGATTACTTTTTTATTTTCTGGTAAAGATTCGGCAAAGGTTGACATATTGTCCCAAAGGAAACGTTGATATGCACCCATGGCTCCCTGTTAGTTGGCGACACACATGGTGAATGCTGCTGATGAATAAAGCCATCTTTCCATTGAGTCAATCCTTATACGGTCTTTATTTGGTGGTATGAGGGTTTGTTGATGTTGAGATCTGGATTGTGAGGCTCCAACAAAAATAGAGTTTGGAGCTGTTTTTTTCTGAAGAAATAGAGCTCCAGTATCATGGACTCAGTAGAGGTTATCGATTCGTTTAGACATGGTATGGGAAGAGACTAGTTTTGTCCAGGATCGTTGAGCCATGCTGAGTAGAAATGGAAGCATCGAGATGTGTACTGGAGTAGTTGTATCTTTAGAGATTGGGTCGTATAGATGACCGGCCAGTTCTGTTGAAGGACGATGGATTTGGAGATTGAGAGATTTAGCCATACAGATCATAAATTGGGTGTAAGTTTGGAAGTCTTCTGCCGGTGATGGTGGGTCGGCATCGACAAGGTCAGATTCTGGTGAGGTCTGGATCTGTGATCGGAATAATTGGGATCACATCGGGAGTGGACGGATTGTCGATCGACTTCGGTGTCGATAGGCTGAATGTCATAGTATTGACGTTTGTGGCTCAATGTTGATGGAGCCGGAACGTCCATGGGCATTTGTCAGTGTTGAGGATTTTCGATGCCGAGAGATGTCATTCGAGTGCCCATGGATGTAATTTGATATGGTTGCATGTCGGTGTCGAACTCGGGGTCATAGTGAAGTCGAGTTCGATAATCATGCGTCGATAAGAGGGACAGAACGAGTGTCCATGGACCAGGATGGATATCGAGGATCATTGATAGCAGAGCCTGTGTCTCGGTGATGTCGAAACAGAGGTTGTTTACGAGCTGATAAAGCAGAGGAGTATATAGACGCTGGAGATGCTGAGCAAGAGGAATGATTCCCCTCATCTGGATTAGCGGGAAAATATCAGGAGCCTGGAGCTGTAAAAGCCTTGTATGTAGAAGAAAACTGCTTGACTGTTCTGGATCTTTTAGGTGCCAGGTACCAGGTTGGAGTCCATGTGGGTCATGGTGGTATGGCCATTTCAATACCAATGGCTGTCGAGATTGAGGCTCGCCATGAGAAGGTATGGTCGAGTTGGATAGAGCAACTGGCTGATTGGCGGTTGCGGTTCGGTTGAGCACTGGTCAGGGCAAATGGCAACCCGATGAGAGTGCTGAATGCGGGTCTAAGCCACATGTGATGTCTCTGAGGCAGTCGTGGTGGATGATCAGATGTTACCGAATAAGGTATGGTCTCTAGTTGTTGTTCAGAGTCGGCCCTGTCAGGTGAAGCAACTACAGAAGGGTTGCTCGAAACAACAGAATGTTGAGGACTGGGAGGAGATGATGTTAATCAATCGACTATCCCATTCCGGTGATTGGGAGCTGGGTTTATGAGAGGGGATTTCGTTATCGTCAGAAGATGAACCAATAGAGATTAATTTGGTGGTTTGTTGAGGCTGCTCAGAGATGACTGCAGCTTTAGATTTATACTGTTAGGTCTTTAGGCAGAGAAAGGTCCAGAACCAGCTTCGCTGGACATTTGACGTTTAGCGGAGGGCTTCAATATCTAGGATTTCGGTATTAAGCGTTTCGATTTATGGTTTTTTGAAGTTTTAGATGAAGTGGATGGAGCACTGGAGTGGGATGGTGTGGTCGATGGATGTTGTTTTGAGGCTTCAGAAAGAGCCTTCTCCATTGCTTTGGTTTGTGAGGTGGTCTTACAAGGTGGTTGGGCCATTTTGGTTGGTTGACGGGAATGTTCCCAAAGATGGAGTTTTAATCTGGATAAGCGAGAACAGAGGACTCCGCGCTTGAAGTTCTTACAATGCTGGCAGGAGGACGTGTGGTGTGCCTCTCACAAGCAAAAAAGACACTTGGCGTAGCCATTGGAGAGTGGTATTTTGTTATTTCAGACCACACAGTGTTTAAATGGGCCCAAAGGGGCCATGAATAGGAGAAAATAATTTGAGGAGAAAAAGTGATGATGGGTGTGTGTGCTGCGGCTGGAGGCCAAGCGAAACAGAAAGGAAAAAAATCATTGATGATAATGAATTTGATCTAAAAGTTTAAAGGAAAAAATTGATAATAGGAAGGAATCAAGAGTAAACTCTCTTTCTCTTTTACTCACAAAAGCAGAACTATGAGGCTCTCAACACAGCGGCTGAAAGAAAACTGAAAGGGGAGCCTTGGCACCAAGGTACTTATACAAGGGGAGAGGGGCCTTATTCTAATGTGTTTTTTGCTACCACAGAAGCTCTAGAACTTTCCAATGAGGCTCCGCGGAGGCGCCATCATCTGCAGAAGGGGTCCCCTCTAGAGGATGGTTTCCCTAATGTCCAGATTGGCATCCTCCAGCCTGGAGACTTCCAGTCCTAGCAGTTGAGGAGCTGCTTATCTGTGGATGGGACGATGCCTGAAGGTCCCTTAAAGTCTCACCGTGGTCCCTCTCTCCCCGTCTCTGCTTCTCCCAGTCTGCAACCAACACCTCAAGGGAACAAACCCATTCCTTGAATTCTTGGAGCTCCTTGCAACGAGGACACACCCTGGACTTTTGCCCAAGAGGCATATAGTCATACATATCCCAACCCACTGCTGTCTGTCTGACTGCATGCTGATATTTGATTAGAGCTTGCCAAACCTCTTCTCAATAGAAGTGATAAGCAGTATCTGGAGCCCTGGCTTCCTCACCCAGCTGCTGAACTTGTACAGCTGCTAAACCCACTGTGTCTTCTTACCCCGCACTTTGTTGCAGTGCGGCACTTTGTTGCAGGAGCCACTCACACTTCAGCAAGGGCACTCACTAGGAGGCCTGGCTTTTACGCTGTTTCATAGCTTCTAGCTCAACTGATGTTAAGTGTGTAGGAACTCGCACAAGCCATATGTCTAAAAAGATAACTATGTTTTTTTGAACATATAGTTCTTAAAGCTCATCTTTATATCTGCATTCTAACTCCTATCAAGTACCACATCAGATGCCAAGTCAGTAACTGTTATAAGAAAGCAGTTTTGAAGGATAGCCTTTATAAAAAAGGTGTTGGGCATAGTATATTTCTCTTTTAAGATGGTACCTCTGTCTGGGATGAGTAGCTTGCAGGGCAGTGCCAGAGGGGTAATGGAATGCTGATACACCAAAGCTGTCAAGCTCCCTGTGGTCAAAACAGGATAAACAAACAGGTTAGGCTTTCAACTGTACAAAAGACTTGCACACATTTGGTTTACAAAATCACAAAATCCTTATTTATGTTCATCCCTTTTGTTTAGCCCTTGTATCTTCAGCTGAAAATGTTTCTGAAAATGTTCTTAATATCAATACATTCATCTCCTCACTTTGCACTTTCTAATCCTGAGACACTTGCATCTAAGAATGTGCCATGCTTAACTAGTCACATCACTTAGCAGAGCCTTGCCACATGGATGGGAACATACATCTTCACCTGTTTTCAACTCACTAGTTGTATCCAAATTGAGTTGCCAATTACTACAGTCTCACCTATGGATGCAGCAGAAGTAAAAAATAAAGCATTAGAATGGGAGTTAGATATTTAGAATGATATCACATATACAGTGCCCCAGTTTACACTGTACGTTGGCTTAACTATATAGTTTATTGTATGCAAGTGAGGAAAAACAATCTTGAGCAGCTGCAACACCTTATGCAGAAGATACAGTAAAATACATAGAGAGACTGAAGGTAAGCAAAGAAAACAGGACTGGCTTAGAAACCAGGTGAAACAACTAATATTTGGGAGACTCGGCTGAAGCTCAGCATGGTATATGTGTGTGACTAAAGAAAGTAGTAATGGAGAAACACTAAATACAAAAAGGGCCACATGATATCCAGCCAGCAGAGGTCCCAGAAATGGCCTGGGCATTGGCTGTTTTATGTGGTGTAGCAGATGTGAAGTGAAAGGTAAGATTACTGTGTACCTATTATATATCTGGCGTTACTTTCACCTGCAGTCCCTTTCTTCCCATTCATGCTACTTTCTGTCAAGAACATGGAAGCCTGTTTCTCTGCCGCAACCAAAATAGGTAAGAGTATAGTGTAGGAAATTGGGGAGTGGGAGGTCTTAGAAAATTGAAAAAAATATAACCTGAAACTGATACTCAGAAAAGGTAACTTATACTTGTATGACAATTGTATACCATGTTTCAGTGACAATCTTGTCCCATGGCAGTTGGACAAATACAGAGAAGCTTACCAAAATACGGTTCATTAGGGCATCCTTTTAACCTCACTCCTTTATGGGTACACTCAATCAGAAAATGCCTGACAAGTTCATTGGACAAATCACCAACTATGACAGAAAACAATGGAAAACAAAGCCATTAGAACGTATTAATTAATATGAATTCATGGCATCACAAAGAAGTGTCTTAGGTTGACTGCCTACTCACAGTATACGTACATAAAAAGGGCTTTCCCACATCACTACACTAATAGTACTGATGGTGCTGTCCTTATTTAGAGTGCCTTTGTCAGCAGTTTTAGAAATAGAAGATAACACCTGCACATGGCCCAGAATGAGATTCCAGTATGCTCTGTAATGCTGCAAAAGCAGTGGTGGTGGGAACAAACAATAACCCAACCCTAGATTCCTTTCCTGAAGCACTCAGTCTACTCAACAACAGTAATTAAACACTGGTAGGTTATGGTAATAAGCAAAGAGTTCTCTCCCATGAATTGGTACAATGAACTGCTGCGGAATTTACTGTAGTTATGTATTTTGAAAAGCAGAGGAATCAATTACTGCTGTAAAAAAAGAAGTAATATGTATATGTGTAGGGGTTAGGGTAGTGATGGTGGTGTAGACCACTGGTTCTTAACCTTGGGTTACTCAGGAGTTTTGGACTGCAACTCCCAGAAGCCTTCACCACCAACTGTGCTGGCTGGGGTTTCTGGGAGTTGCAGTTCAAAAAAATCCGAGTAACAAAGGTTAAGAACCACTGGTGTAGACAGTCTTAAAAGATCTAGACATCTATATATTTCTGTATCCGTTTCCTTCAAAAGGCCCCAGCCAGCATGGCTGATGATGAAGGATGGTGGGAAATGTAGTCCAAAAAAAATCTGGAAGAGACCACATTAAAAAAGTTGACTAACTGCATGAAGGTGACCTGATTTTTATCCAACTGAAATAACTTTCTAAAAGTCAGTTAATTAAGTAAAGAGTACTGGAACATATTGAATCTCCATTTGTAAAGTTTTTGAGCATAATTCAAATGTTAAAAAGCAAGGAAGTACAATCTCCTCCAGCACACTAGTCTACTTTCATGCAATAATAAGTGGTAAAAGGAGAGGATAAGACAATACTCTGTAGCATTAACAGAGTGCTTACGGTTCCCTTTCAATTATTCCTTCACAAAATCTTAACCACATAGATCTTAGCTCAGTATAGTACTGCTAAATAAGTCCATGCATTTTGCAGTAAGCTCCGAGACAGCTGGGCCTTTCTTTAAAACGCCTACTACATGCCCAGCTACAAACAAAAACATTACACACACCTTTTTCACTTTTTCTCTTGCAGGACTACAGTAAGTTATGTGATCAAACGCAGGCATTTCAGCAATGTTTCTTCTTGCCTAACTGCCTTAATTTTGCTTAGAGGTGGTGATTCATGAGACACTTCCGGAGTCCTCCCTTTCTATGTGAATTATATAATGGAGTTTGAGACTGCATGGGACTGCCATACAGTGGCAGCTGATTCCTCCAGGTTTTATCAGTGGAGCATCTGCAGTCAAGTTTCTAAACAGCTACTTGCTTAGCAGTTTGTAGTGAAGTAAACACTGCCTCCAGGCAACCAAGTAGAGAATTTTTACAAAAGTTGGTTAGTTTTTTCCTTTAGGTTACAAATAACTAACTTATGAGTTCTGTGGACATATTTTCGGAGTTGCATTATAAAAGAACAGGAAATTCCAAGCTTATAAATTCAACCACAACTGATTAGAGAACTATGACAGGATCAGCCATCAATTATAACTCTTACTTACATTCCAGAGGGAAAGATCTCTAACTTAAGACTGGCACAAATCCCCTTCCCCAAGGTGTAGTGCTGGCGAAATGCAGAAATGGAAACAAAATGTATTTACCTTTTTTGCTTAGCTGCAACACTGAAGGAGGAGGTATCGCAACTTTCATGGCGAGGCCATAGGCTCCTCTGAAAGAGTGACTATCACGGACAATGAATGACCCTGGTTCCTTGTCCTTTAGGACAGCAATGGCTGTATGAGAGGAGAAGAGAGCACTTACAGATCCATGCAACTTTTCCAAATAAACAGATGATAATCCCATCTAAATGATGCTACAACTCAATACCAAAATTATCTGTCTTCTTTTCTTGGACAACAAGAACAACAGTACAGAGGATAACCAGATGGCGTATTTCAGTACCATCACTATTATGCTGAATTGTGAATAAAAAGTTGACTAACTGCATGACTAACTGCTCATAAACTATTGTTGTTTTTACACCTGTAAAGGCTAAAGTTATTTATTCTCAGAAGCCAATCAGTTCTGCTAACAGTTGTCTGGAAGCCAGAAATGCATTTTGATTTATAACAACATGTCTCTGTAAAAAGACCTCATGGGCCCAGTCACTGCAGTGTTTCATCTGCAGTTATATTAACATTACACTATGGTCAGCTGAATGACAGTTTGCAACTGTGATTAGAAGCATTTTTTGTAATCTCTTACTTGTCCATTTGCCAGACATTCACAAATGAGAAAGGAGAGGGAAAGCATCTGTAAGCATATAAACAGTCTTCAGTGTTCTAATCCTGATGTCCAAACCGTTCTGTCTTCACCAGACATATGTGTCACATGCCATCAAAATATTAGAAAACATCACATTTATGGAAAATTATTTTGACCTCTTTCTCTATAGCTACTTCAAGATGTTAATGTTACATTTTATGTGGAATTTGCCAATGATATCTAGCATGCTTCTTTGTAACTGTGACATGACATGGCTAACATTTGACGTCTGGAAATGCAACCCTGCACTGAGTTAATCTGTGAACTTTCTTCCACCTGAACTATGTGAAGTTTGTTTCAGCAGGCAGCTTGCCACTTCTGGACTCATTAAAAAAAAAGAGAGAGAGTGAGAGGAATCATCCTTTGTCTCTTACTGTATGGTACTTAATACCCATTTTCCTCTTGCATGAATCCAAAGCAAACACAGAGATGATAGATGTGCATTCATTGATAATCCCATTTCCCTTCTGATCCTGCTTCATTTGTGCTCTAGGACATGTCAAACAATCTGACAATTTCAGAAACCCTGTTAAAACTGATCTTTTATTTGCCAGTAGGCAGAAGTTAAGCTAACAAAAATAACTGAAAATCCCCAGAACGGAATATCAACTTTGGACAAATACTCTATGTTCTCATTAAAACTACAATACACAATGCTGGTCAACCTTATTCATAAATATACTGTGTTTATTTTTCCACTCGTCAGCCTGGCAGGGAGACTCATCTTCCCTCCATCTGCCAGGAGTGGATAGTCGACGGCGAACTCTGGAGCAACTGGGACAATGGAGCCCCTAGCGGCAGTGGACGCGTGAGTGGTCCGGCCCCAGGGGGCCAGACCCTCATTACATCCAGCTGTGTGGGGGTATTTTTATATGAATATGAATACCCCCATCCCTAATCCCAACCCATCATTGCTTTATAATTATGCAAAAGTCTAGAGAGAGAGAGAGAGAGGAGAGAGAGACGAGAGAGAGAGACGAGAGAGAGAGAAGTTCCCCTTATGAGCCAAAAAACAGACACACAAAAAATTCAGTGTAACAACTTCCATCTCTTCAAGGAAGCTGTAGCAGCTTGCTGTTTTAGTGCATTAGACTGAGATAGCTCCCTTGGATATTAAAAATTCTTGTCCTTTTGATGATGGGCCACAGGAGTCCTAGATCTTGATGATGAGATTGGCTGTGAATGACTCTGGTTGGATATATGATGTCTGGATCATGAGACTTTTTGTGTGATGAGTGTCCCTGGTGTGAGAAAAGAGATTTCAATGCTGGGCTGGAGAACATAATCAAATCTATGGTGCAGAATTGGTTCTGGTTGGAGCAGGTTGTTGAAGTCAAGGTGGTGGTGAAAATCTGGTGTCAACATCAGAGACAAAGCCGAAACACACTACACACTGTTGGCAGTCCAGTCTACACTGATGGTCTACCGGATATGGCTGGACAGACTACCCTGGAAGATATGTCTTTTTATTGCTTATCCTTGTCCTTTACTTTTTTATTTGCCTTTTTAGCAGCAGTTGTGTCGGTGTTTGCTATTTCTCTTCAGGAGTGGCAAAAAAGGAACTGAGGGATAGCTGGTGGGGAAAGGGCATGTGCTCTTGAAAATGTGGGCAGAGTTTTTCTATGTCACTAGGCTCTGGATGTTTCTGAGGAGATATGCACAAGTGTGAAGAGAACCCGGTATGTGATTCACAGAGATCACAGAAAAGAATTTAACGTTCAGTCTCTTTTGTTTTCCTAGTTTTATGTGTCTAAACATGTGCCTTCATTCTGAAAAGGCATAGTTTCCATCCTACTGTGTTAGAGAAGACAATCGCTGTTAGGGATCATGGGAGGTTTATACTGATGGAAAAGGGAACATTATATAAGCTGGTCTGGGATTCTAAGTTGGTATGACCTTTAAATATTTGTAAATAAATATAAAGCACTACTATATGCTGCAAAATGCAAAAATGCGAGTAGATAAATAGGTACCACCTCGGTGGGAAGGTAAACGGCATTCCGTGTCTAGTCATGCTGGCCACGTGACCATGGAGGACTGTCTGTGGGCAAACGCTAGCTCTATGGGTTGGAAATGCAGATGAGCACCGCCGCCTAGAGTTGGACACGACTGGACAAAATTGTCAAGGGGAACCTTTTTATATGCTGCAAAAGAAAGATGATACCTTGTTCTCTTGAAATCTCCGGTTTGTACCAGAACTTGGAGGTGTCTTGGACAAATTTTACAGTCACATGCTTATCGCTTTCATTTTCTGTAAGACAAAAAAAAGGAGTGAAATGAAAATGAGAATCAGCACACAACAATGATCACACAGTGCAGCAGTTTGCATAGCAGCTTGCCACCTGGACACTGGCAGTGGGTAACGCCTGTTCTACATATAAAACAGAAGGAATCAGGAAATGCTCTGCTGAGAGAACAGTCTGCAACACTGCTGGTAGGAAAGGGAAGTCTCCATTTTGAGCATTCTCCTCTTTTAAAAACTTCAAAAGAGAGAGTTAGCACCGAAGGCGAAGTGTTGGGCTGGAACCTCTCACCCCAATGTTCTAGTTTCCCATTTGTACACAGGCTTCTTTGCTACATAAAGGGAATGTACAAAAGTGGTGCCCACAGCTATGGTTTGAAGTACCAATTGATTATACCATTTCATTCTTTTCTCATCTTGCATGGGTTGAAGTAACACCTCCTCCCACACAAACATTTTTCAAAATTTGAGGAGGCAATCAGCTCCCACTTTTACGGCATGCTTCTTTGCTTGGTATGAATCTGGTGTAAGAGTAAAGGGCCCTTCAAATGTATATACAAAACCTCCTTTGTGTGAAAAGGCGTTTTTCACACAAAAGAGCTTTAAATGTATATATATATGAACATGCACAGGACATGGGACACATTGAACTTGGTGAATGTTTCTGTTCTGAGGGCAGAAGTGGCAGCCAAGGGACACCTCCAGTAACAGATAATCACACAAAGGTTTGTTTGAACATCTCTTCTGAGATCTAGCCTGGGAAACTATATCTCTACTATATTTCTATTATATTGTCATACTACCCTGAATACATGGATCTTGTCTAATTTCAGAAGCTAAACAAGATCAGCATGGTTAATACTTGGAACCGAGATAAACAGGGTATATCAAGAATTTCCAATCCTGCCTGTAAATTTGGAGAACTGCTAACAGGTCAGCCAGAGTTGATAATGTTACATGAATTTATAGTTCAGTAGAAAGCAGCTTCTTACATTCCTAACTCTTCCAGCTTAACACACTTACTTTACAGTAATTCATCCGTAAGCTGCATACCTGGTAACGGTGAAGTATTTACAACTTTGGAGAAATCTGGGAGAACATTTGGAAATGGAATGCTAATAGTGCTTCCACTGTGTGGACTTGAGAAGCCACTTGAAGAAGGTGAGATGGAGCCAAAAGAATGATCCCCTTCTGAAGTTCTCTTCTTCTCTGGAAGAGGGGGTTGAGGGTGGGCAATCATGCCTTGGTTTTGCTGATTTATACTGTTCTCGCTGTTGTGTCCAGATGCTGGTGCAAGAAATCCATGTTGCAAAAAGCCACTGTCTTCTGGAGACTTCACTGTTTTGGAAGAGCAATAAGTATTTGCCACAAAAGCAGGTGCCTTCTCCCCAAAAGACTGGCTGCTGTTGGTGCCAACCCCACTGTAACTGAGAAAAGCTTGAAAGCTGGTGCCGGCTCCAGGATCTTGCGGCTGCCCAGCTAATGAACACTCCTCACCACTGAACGGCTCAGCTTGGAGACTCTTGGTCTGGAAGTGTGACAAGTATGAGCCATCTCGTGCAGGGGCCGAAAACTCTGGTGATATGAGGTAGCTTCCTAAAGACTTGCTGCTGCTTGTTTCTGAAATATGGGACATCAAGGAGGATTTAGAACTCTTTTGTTGCCAGATGTGCTCACTTGCAGGACTGTTTGAAAAAGCAAAAGCAACCATCAAAATTCTTCAAAAGCATACCACTGTTTATTTATTTTATATATGCAACTTACGTGACACTAAATTTGCCACTTAGCATGCACTCAGTAATGGGCTGCAGGCAACCCCTGTTCCTAGACAAATGCAGGTGTATGAAATACATGCGATTTTGTTCATAATACAGTGGTGCCTCATTTAGCGATGAAACCGCATTATGATGAACTTTTTGCGATTGCTTTTGCCATCACTTTACGATGTTTCCTATGGGGGAATTTTATTTTGCGATGATCGGTTCCCTGCTTTGGGAACCGATTCTTCGCAAAATGATGATTTTAGAACAGCTGATCGGTGGTTTCAAAATGGCCCCCCGCTGTTTTCTGGGATGGATTCCTTGCTGCACACACAGCAAAAATGGCCGCTCTATGGAGGATCTTCGCTGGACGGTGAGTTTCCAGCCCATCGGAACGCATTAAACGAGTTTTAATGCATTTCTATGGGGTTTTTAATTTCGCTTTACGATGTTTTCGTTCTACAGCAATTTAGATGGAATGAATTAACGTCGTAATGCGAGGCACCACTGTATACATATTTAGGCATATACTGAAAATATATTGTATTTAAAGACTCCGAGTGATTCCAAAGCTTGGATCCCTGGATGTTAATGGACTAAAGCTCCCAGAAGCCTTCATCACTAGCTGTGCTGGCCAGTTTCTGGGAGTTGTAGTCCTAGAACATCTGGGTACCTGAGGTTGGGAATCACTGCTCTAACTCATACTAAAACACTGAAACTTTGGCATATAGATAACATATGTATAAACTTTGGCATATGTACAAACTTCGGCATTTCAATATAAGGTTAAGTGGCACACTACTGGGTGATAACTATTCATATCATACTCATAGAGAGGCAATCTGAAGGTAGGTTGATGGCCCCTCACTGCTCAAAATCCTGATAAATAAATTGTGTCTCTAAGGATGATGAAGTCACAAGCAGGGTGAGATTGCAAGTAATGAAATATTTCCTGCTTTGATCTTGGGTGGCTGCTCAACTCACCCGCAAATGGCCTGAAATCAATCTCATTTCAGGTGAATTGGGCAAGCCCTGAAATTGGAGCAGTTGCTGGTGGTAACATTAACTGAGAGGGGGAAATTGGCAGTAATGAAAGAATTCCTGCTGCGATCTCAGGGATTACCTGAGGTTACGTCATCTGCAATGAGACCGTTTGTGAATAAGATGCACAAGAGTTGGGTGATTCCAGAGATCAAAGCAGAAACGTTTTGATTACCAGAAGTCTCTCCCTCCTGGTGACATCATGGACATAATCTATGCAACAGGATTTTGGCCATCATTTCCTTAGAGGTCACCCTGGCTTTCTAATTTCATTAGCCAATCCATTCTCCAAAGGAATATTTAGTTCACCAAATGAAAACTTGATCATTAAACTCAATTGCTTGCAGAGTAGCTGAGACCAGACTCTAATGGCCAAAATCTTAGAGGCAATTTTCTATCAGGCAATTTTAGAATTGCCTGATACAACGATTTGCCCTGCCAGCACAAGACCATTGCTACACTCTTGCGAAGAAACATCACCAAGCAAAACATTTTTCATTTACAAAACTCAGATTTGCTACAACTATGGCATAAAAATGATGAAATGATAAGAGTGAGCCTGAAGGCAAACCAAGGAAGAAAACTGCATTCCCACTTAGATGTTCCACATTTTGTTTTTGTTGACAGATACCTGTCCTGACAAGTGTTTCAGCATAATATGTTATCTATTTATACAGAATCTGACTCCTCCCCACTCACTGTTAAATTTATTTTTATTTTAATAGCTAAATACACAGCACCATCAGGTGTATTCTTCCATCTACAAGTAATTATTGGAACATATATTGGTCTACCACTGTGAGGATTAACCATGCTGTTATCCATGTAAAAAGGCATACTAGAGATATTCAGGATCTTTTCTGCTTTATTTTTGTTTGATTAGAGAATCCTGATAATTAGATATCTTTCCAGTAATATACCAGTTCAAAGTGCTGGTTATAATCTCTAAAGTCTACACACACTTTAGAGTGTGTGTAGACTTTAGAGGCTTTTTTGAGGGGTGGGGAAACATTCTTTCTTATTTATTTTATTTATTTACAATATTTTTAATGAACCTGCATAGTTTTTAAAATCTTCAAGAGAGGCCCTTCTTCTCAATGTCTGTAACATTTCTAAGAGAGTGTCTCTGACACCCTTCTATCCACAGCCAAAAATGTTTTTTTTAATTCAAATAGGCCACCTAGCATTAAGCATTATTACTGAAAGGGATCCACATAAAAACAGTAATATGTTTTTAATCTTTCTTATTTTAATTCCATTTTACTGCACTTGAATTTTATTATAGCCATAGTCTTTAGTACCATTTGTGGAAGAAAGGTGAGATATAGCTGTAGTAAAGAAAAGCAAATTTTCTAAAGAATTTAGCCAAAATTGGAGCACATATCCATAGGTTAAAACTTTGGTAATATAGCAAGTAATGTCACTCATGTAAGGTTCAGAAATTTGATAACAATCCTAATAAAATTTAAAATTTCTTCTGCTTTATAGCTGCATGCAGAAGTAATTTCAGAAGTAATAGTAAGAACCAAGTTTTATTAGTAGTGCTATGAGACAAGACTATACTTGGGTTATTTATTATCTCATGATACTGTAAGGGTTGGTATATTTTATAACAAACAAGAAAGAATAATGTGAAATATTGACTCTTCTAATCACAAATGTCAGCTGGTGTTTACTAAGATACAAGTCATCACACACTTCCTTAAGTATTTTTTAAAAGTTAGATTCATATGCAGATTTAAATATTACAACTAATCAGTCAGTTAAAAGGCAAACAATTAAGTGGTGTAAGTGTTACTGCATCATTTAAGAAGGCTATCAAATTCAATTAATAAGAGAGAAAACAAGCATCAGTTGCACTTGTGTTGATTAAATGCTTGATGTTTTAGCGAGTTATTACCAGTCAAGTAAATTTTTTCTTTTTTCCATGACTGTAAAAGAAGCCAATTAGCTGTGGACAGAGATTATAAAATAGCTCCTAAGGAATGCAGGAAGGAATTTCACAAGCAATCATGTACTGCAGAAAAAAAACATACCAAATTACAAGCTGTAATGCAGCATTCCTTATCTCAGACTAATTAAAGTCCAGTTCAGATGAGTTTAAGAAAAGGAAACTGAAGACCAATTAAGGTTCTGAACCAGTCTTGGTGAACTGTAATATACTGGATGTATAACAATCTCAAATTGAGTCTATGAAACTGTGGCTAGCTTATCTGACTGGCTGAGTAGTATTTCTCCTGTTCTGGAAAGGGCTGCACTCCCCCTAAATTCCTAGTTTGGGGGTGCTCCTTGGTTCCATCACTGTCACTAGAAAATAAGGTGGACGTAGTGCCACAGGGTACCTTTAATCAGCGTAGGCTGACTTATCAACTATAACCCTGTTAGGGCAAAGATGAACTTGCAACATTAATTATGCTCTAGCAGCCTCATAATGAAGAAACTGAAACTGTTAAAAGATTTTCTATTTTTTGTATCATCAATCCAAATGGAGACTGCAACCTGAGAATCAGAAGAAGACTTCGATTCAGAAGGATAGGCATGAAGGAACTAGAAAAGATACTCAAGTGGAAGGATACATCAGTGGAGATCAAAACTTAGGTCATGTATACTGTGATTTTCCCAATTACCATGAGTGGATGGAAGAGCTGGCCAGGGAAGAAAGGCAATTATTCTTTTTAAAAAGATTTATTCAAAATGTGAGGTTGAGGGGGACCGGCAAAGACAATAAAGTGGCCAATCAAGCGTGATCTCTCTCTAGAAGCAAAATGACTAAACATACTTTGGCCACTGTAGTCCCATACTTTGAGACTAGCCTTATGAGAAGAGACAATAATGTTAGGAAAATTTGAAAGCAGCAAGTAGAAAAGAAGACTGCTTATGAGATGGGTTAACTCAGAAAAAGAAATTATAGCAGAGTTGTTAATGATAAGACCTTTGAGAGTTCATTATGTCATAGTGTTCCCATGATGTTAGAAGTGATTTGATGGAATTAAGTCAGGGCTTTCCATTTGCATAACTGCAATGTGTTACATATGGGGTTGCTTTTGAAAACGGTCTGGAAACTTGGCTTTTAGGAGAGACTGGTGAAAACAACCACAACGAGACTGTACTTTATCATCCGCATATCTGCCAGTAGCCCAGTATCTTTGTGGGTCCAATTCAAAATGTTGATTTTAATCTTTAATGCTCCAAATAGCTTCATATCAGGTCACCCAAATGAACTGCTTATCTCATACTTGTTACTGAAACCCTAAGGTAATAATTTAAGGCTTTCTCACCAAGTAAGACCAGACAGCAGGGCCACAATTTAGAGCTTTTCGATCTTTGCCATGTTTATTTATTTATTTATTTATTTATTTTATTAAATTTATACCCCGCCCCTCTAGACCATGTCTACTCGGGGCGGCTTAACCTCTGCTGTTGCTTTTAATCATGTGTTGCTGCTCATTTTATCTTTTTCCCCCTGGCCTGTTTTATTGTCATCCTATCTTTAATTTTGTTTTTAACTTTTTATTACCCAGAGATTCTCTGACAATTTAAAAATATCAAGAACTGATTTAGGCATAATGACAATGCTGCATAGTGACAGTAAACGTAGATGTGATCCAAAGCTACATGCAGTATCTCTAACTAATTACACCTAAGGGTGAGATGATTCACACTGTTCTTTCTTCCTATGTAGGAAAAGTCGTCATCATCCCCAAGTACAGTCATATACAGAGAAGATAAAACACGCAAACTGGCTGCAGTAGGTAATGAATCCCTAATTGGAGCAGGACCACAATCAATTCTGGCTAATTCTTCCCTTAAATTTCTCCATACTAATAAGGGCATGGATAAGGATGGACTGTATGAAGGGTACATAAAAGGTGAGGAAAAAGAAGAAGATATTTCAAACCATATTTCAAACCAGTATCTAGAGAGAGTGCTCATTGGAAGGACAAATCCTGAAGCTGAGGCTCCAGTACTTTGGTCGTCTCATGAGAAGAGAAGACTCCTTGGAAAAGACTTTGATGATGGGAAAGTGTGAAGGCAAGAGGAGAAGGGGACGCCCGAGGATGAGATGGTTGGACAGTGTCATCGAAGCAACCAACATGAATTTGACACAACTCCGGGAGGCGGTGGAAGATAGGAGGGCCTGGCGTGCTCTGGTCCATGGGGTCACGAAGAGTTGGACACGACTAAACGACTGAACAAACAAAATTGAGAACACCCCCCCTCTCCATATCTCCCCACCCCCCACATTTTTTGGAGTTTTACTTTTCAGGTAATGTGATCTTTAAGCTTATTTAAGAATTTTTCCTAGAGGACTGTTACAGAATGGGTTATGGACTACAAGACCAAATCAAAATAAGAAGATTAGAGCTGTCTTACCTCTCTTTTATCAGGACAGAATTATTGTTTGAAACTGTGCATGCAGCTACCCGCTGGCAGGAAGTTTTCTGTCCATCTCTCCTCAACAAAGTAGGAGCATCACACATCACAGTGGAGGGAGCAGGAGCATCACACATCACAGTGGAGCGGTTGAGGTCTTCTGTGTAACCTTGAGGTTCTGCAGAAATGAAATAAGGCAAGTTTCTTTTAAGATGTGTAAATGCATTTGGTGCATGATATGTTGATAGAAATGCATGGCTTGTTGGTAGACATAAAGGAAATAGAAATACAGCTGTGTTTGCCTGCTCACTATCACTATCACCTGAATATGTTCTGTGTGGTTGCACAGAAGCCATTATACACACTTTCAAATGTACAGAGATTCCACGTATGAAATCTGTACCTGCAAGATACTGCACTTGCAGCTCATGAGCAGACTGACTGAATACATGATGAAAAAAGCCAGATCCACAATCTAACCAAACATATGCACGTCTACATAAAATGAATTCAGTTCTTCCAAAAATACCCACAAAAAAACCTCCAGGTTATGAATGTGGGATATTGTGCTTCTGTATTTATGATTCCAAATGCCAGAAAATATATGTGTGTGTGTGTGTGTGTGTGTGTGTGTGTGTGTGTGTGACTTGTATGCCCAATACGGTTACATCTACTCTACAAAAGCAAAAACAATCTACAGAAATTTCCACACAACATTGTGCCCATGTTGCCAGCAGGAAAAAGGATGCCAAGTTTTACATAGCAATGAGATGCCTGAATTCTGACAAGACCAATGGTAGCAGTCAAGATGATCTACGGGCTATCTTCTTGTGTTCACTATAGAGATGGGGGTATTCGTATATGAATATCCCCGCACAGGTGGAAATAACGAGGGTCTGGCCCCTTGGGGCCAGACTGTCCACTCATGATTTCGCCGCTGCTGCCGGCTCCACAGAGGCTTCCTGTTGCACTGTTCTCCACAACAGATTAGCCACTCTCCGACCTAGCAGAGAGGCTTGTCATCCCATCTCCTGCCAGGACTGGGTAATTGATTGCGTACAACGGTGCGACTGGAAGGTCCCATGTTATCTCCACCTGTGCAGGGATTGATTGCGGACAACAGTGCGACTGGAAGGTCCGACAAGCTCGCATCAGCAGCAAAACAGTGAGTGGACAGTCCGGTCCCATGTTATCTCCACCTGTGCAGGGATATTTGTCTTCATATATGAATAACCCCATCTCTAGTTCACTACCATTCACAAAGAGATACCAAGCAGGGAAGATTCTACAACCAGACTCTTTTTTTCATCAATTAATCACTTCTCACCCATACATGAAGTAATTGTCAAGGAGAACTCAGTCCCAGTCCCTTGAAGGTTTCAAAACATATGTTTTGGTTATTTTCTGCTGGGCCTGCGCCACCGGTCCATCTGCTGACTGATGCCACAGTTTGCCTCTGCTCCACCCTTGCAATCTCACACACTTTGGTTATTAGCTTAGACACAAAGTTGTCTCCCCAGTCTGAAATCAAAACCTGAGGCAACCCCAAGTCCATGATGTCCCTGGCCACATTTTGAGCTACCACCAGAGGGCAAGGGAATTATCTCAACATATTTTGTAGCATAATCAATGAAATCTAGAATAAATCTCTTTCTGAACTTAGCTGTGGGTTTATAGGCCCCAAAATGTCCTAAGCCAAATCCTGGAAAGGCTGGAAAACAGTAGACACTGGATGAAAAAAAGGCTTTGGATTAATCATGGGGATATCACAGGTGGCAAAAACAGCTGGGACCATTCCTGCAGTCACCCAGATGTGGCTGCAACAGTCTTCAAAGATCGATTGTCTCAAACATGGACACAATTAAGAAGGACTGGTTCACTATTAATCCTTAACATGCTGATTTCTTCAGCTGGTAGACTAGTGCTGAAGTCATCAATCCCATAACCCAATGCCGGTCTGTGGCCTGAGCTGGACTGGAAAACAGCTGGGACCATTCCTGCAGTCACCCAGATGTGGCTGCAACAGTCTTCAAAGATCGATTGTCTCAAACATGGACACAATTAAGAAGGACTGGTTCACTATTAATCCTTAACATGCTGATTTCTTCAGCTGGTAGACTAGTGCTGAAGTCATCAATCCCATAACCCAATGCCGGTCTGTGGCCTGAGCTGGACTGGGCCGCGGAGATGGGCCGTGACCTGGCGCCGGTCTGTGGCCTGAGCTGGACCGGGCCGCGGAGACAGATCTCCCGCTCCTCCTGCATGCACTCACCCCCACACAGTTGATTTGTGCATGCACACATGCTCCAGAATGCCCGTGCGAGCGCTGCACTGCTGCTTGCACATGCACATGAGTACGTGCTCCAGAATGCCCGTGCGAGCACTGCACTGCTGCTTGCACATGCACATGAGTGTGCATGTGCTCATACAAGTGCTGTTGTGCATACACTCTCTTGCGCGCATGCGCACAAGTGTGGGGGTGCCCCATCTTCCCCCGCCAGTCTGCAGGGTGAAAAAGGTTGCGGAACCCTGGACTAGTGAAGTACTGTAAAATGCCTCACTTGAACAACTTTCTTTGGGTGAAAAGGGTTGCGGAACCCTGGACTAGTGAAGTAAAATGCCTCACTTGAACAACTTTCTTTACTATGCTCCAATCCCCAGATTTCCACTTTGGGGGCCTCAAGGCCAGGCTCTTGCACACCTATGGCCAGGCTGTCTGATGTTCTTAACTTTTGGCTTTGAGAAACTATTTTGTGCCTTCAAATTGAGCTTGCAACATGTGGCACAGTTGACCAACAGCACCACACTAGAAGCGTATTTCCGGATGCTCATGGCCACAGGCTTGCTGGGCTTCTGATGGAAGGGTAAAGAGGGGGAGCAGCAGGGGTCCTTGCTGCTATCACTTCTTCCCTCTTTGCAAGCTAAGGGAACTTAGCCTCCCTCAAACCATTCTGATTTCTGAGTGCCCATCGCTTGCCAGGCTCATGGCATCTTTGGGTGCTCTCACATTGTTATTCCAAATCAGGTCAGCCACCAGGGCAATGCCTGTGATATCACTGAGTTGTTTGTCCAGCAAAGGAGAATGTAAAACGTTTACGAGTTGCTGCATCTCTTTGTTGCTTGTTTCCACACCTGCCATCTCCATCCATCTCTTGACAACTTTTCCCACCTAAATTGAGATGCTAAAACGAAGAAAGCTTGGAGTAACTAGGAGAGACGTTTACAGGAAGGGATTGTAGGCTCAGGGCACTATTGGAACTTGGGGGTGATGATGGTGGAATCCTAGCACTATAACATATTCACAGCTTCCCTGTTTTTTTGTTTTAAATACATGTCTTTCTCATCTAGTCAGTGGGTTCTAGGAGAAAACAAAGTAGGCCTCAGTACTCTCCATCTCTGCCTTAAACCTTGTGTGGACATATTTTCATCCATCTGCCCACACAACTGACTTTCTGGACATCTCCAAGCCAGGCGTCTGCAGAGGTAGAGTCCAAATGGATGTAACACCATTACCAGGGTGGCAGAAGAAAACTATCCATTTTATTTACCTACATATTTCCTACGTTATCAGCCCAAAGGGCTCCCAAGGTGACTTATGGCATACTGTACAACATTACATTGTGATAAAACCAGAGTAAAAATTACAATCAAATTAAGTTAATAAAACAGGAAACCTCTGCATAAAACTGACAGAAAACACAGGCAGACTGGTTCTTCTCGCAGTTCAAACAACATCTTAACTATGGGAGTCGCAAATGGAACACAATTCAGAAAGGGAGTCCCAGGGAAAGTTGCTCCTGCTAGTAAAAGTTCTGATCCAACTATCCTTACCTATTCATCAGTGAATTAAAGAGCCAATAGCACCTCCAAAATTTTTAAAAATTAAATTATATTACTATAACTAGCATTATTTATTTGACAATATTTAAATATAGTCATCCACCATATTTCAACGGCAAACAATTTACTCACAAATAACACATGAAAATAAACATGATCCTCCAACCTCTGATGCATCTCCAATCTGACCCACATAATTGAGAATAAGTTATTTGCTCCACCTGAAGCTCATGACAGAAATAAAGGGTTGTGAAACCTTTTGAAGACTCACATAGCCAGGCCTGCACTAAAGAATGTTTTATATTTCACATTGCCTACAACACATTTGATTTGTCTATTATTTCTCCAAATGCATCATGTATTTCATTTTCCTGTCATGAATATGTGATTGAGATATCCTTCAAAAAATATGAGAAATGCTTTTAGTTAACCTTGAAAAATGCAGAAAACTCATAGTAGTTGTGCTACTAGGCCTCTGTGCACCACAGAAGAACAGAACAACCAACAAGCCTCCATCTGCCTAGGCTTGACAGTCAATGTTAGTATAGTCAATTTCATAAACAGGATTACAGACATGCATCTATTACTTTTTAATAACTTATTAGAGCATGCCCATAATAACATAGTAAGCAGTAATCTAAATTGGCCATCCCAGTGCTAAGAAGAATTTCATCACATGTGCCATCTCATTAAAACCAGGGCAGTATCAGGATAATGCTGCCAGTTCTATCAACTAATGTCTGGAAGATGGTTGCAGTTGTTTGCAGGGTGGATTTTATGTAAATCAAGTTGATTTAAATCATGATTTAAAGCACTAGTCAGTAAGACTCAATTTAAATAATGATTTTTTAAATGTAAAGACGTTATCGTTGGTATTGTTAATATTTGCAACCAGATGAAGATTTCATATTTAGAATAATAACCTGCCAGATTACTAAAACAGCTATATCCAAAGTGATTGTAGTTTAATAATCACTCATATTTGAAGAACTACTTAAATTATTTTATTTAAATAGAACAATATCATTATATAGCATACATATTCTTGTATTTGCTTAAACGTCAATGTTTATCAACTGAAGTGCTTAAACAAAATATCTTTAAACAATTTTAAAATCAATTTTAATCCACCCTGGTTGCTTGTTCTTAGGGAAAGATGCAGTTTCCACTTGTCTTAATTTCCAGCAAGAGCTGGGTTCCACAGATACTGTTGGTCTCCAAGCTCTCACCAACTTTGGCTAGTACAGCCAACAGAGGGAAAGGACAAGAGTTGCAGTACAACATAATCCAGAGGGCCACAGGTTGCTGTTTACTAAAAGTAGAAGTTTAAAATTCCTT